AGAGAGAGAGAGAGAGAGAGAGAGAGAGAGAGAGAGAGAGAGAGAGAGAGAGAGAGAGAGAGAGAGAGAGAGAGAGAGAGAGAGGGGAGGGGGGAACTGGGAACAGAGGCAGATAAGAAAGTGGAGGGGAGAGTGTTCACAGAGGGCTGTGAATAGGGGCACAGGTGACGAATGTTTGTCAAAGAAAAAGAAAAAAAGCAGTGAGAAGAGCAACGATTTTTTTATTGCCAACAGGGAGGGGGGGAAAAAAATCTTCTCTAATAAATATCAAACCTACAAAATCTTATTTGACTGCTAGCACCAGACCTATGACCACTATGGTATCCACTGCCAAAAGGCACGATACCATCCTAACATCGTAATGACAGCACCCCGCTTCGAGGGAATAACTTCCAATCATATAAAATAAAAAATAAGCAATTATGCCCCCAGAGGCATGTGAAGAGAAAACAATGACTCCTGTATTCAACATACTGTACAAATGATGGGCCTGATTGTGCTAAAAACTCTCTATCCCATTAAGCTGGACTTCGTTGACACAAATCGCATAAGCTGCACTCTAGGAATGACAGAGTGAAACTGCCTGCCTCTGGTCAGGTTGCAGGTGGCGTATGTGCTGCTGCTGTCTGTCGTCCACTTCGGCTTCTGACAGGCACGCCTTGATACGGTGTCGGTGTTCCAGGTGCAACGGATGGGTGCTGCTGGACCACCGCCGTACCCATCAGCGTGCCCATTTGTGGTATTGCGTAAGCATACCCAGCAGCAACAGAGCCGGGAACGGTTCCCTGGACCGTCATTCCCGGCTGACCAGGGATACCCTTGGCAGCCACACGCGAACCTACAGTATTCGCTCTACTCACCGTCAAACTCGACGCAGCTGTGCTGCCAATCGGCTGTGACATGATCACTCCAGGACTTCCGCCGCCGCCTCCTGGAGCGGATCGCGTTGGAGCTGAGCTGTCACCTGATAAAGGTGGAGAGCCGAGTCCGCTGTTGGGGGACCCTCTTGACCGAGACTGAGCCGATCCCCGCTTGGATGACGAAGCTTGTGTCGCTGTTGTGGTCCCTGAGGCTTGTCTCATGACCGTTGCAACTCCGACTGGCGACGTTGCGGTCCCTTGTACTGCAGTGCCCAGAGTCGGAATCCCAGTCATCGGTGTCAAACCTCCGGCAAGCACGGGCACACCGTTGGCCCCAGTCATGGCGGTCATACCACTCATCCCAGGGATTACGCCCACCGATCCCATCCCATTCATAGTGGTCATGCCGCCAATGGTTGCAATCCCTCCCATGTTCCCGCTGCTCGACACAGGGATACCAACACCACTGATGCCCGTCGCAACACCAGCATACCCTGATAGATTGGAAACCTGCGCCACATTGGCCAAACCGCCAGCCCCGGAACCAACCGCCCTCCTACGCAGCATAAGCTGCTGTTGGGCAGGTTCATATGGCTTGCCTTGCTGCTGTTGCTGCTGCTGCTGCTGCTGCTGCAGCTGCTGAAAATGTTGCAGTGAAGAAAGCTGTGGCATCTGCGGCTGGCCTGCATGACCAGTCAACATCTGGCTCGCTGCGAGCTGCGCGCCGCCTTGAACGGCAGCTGCGTACGGCGATCCGAGCTGTATCGATGAGCTATAGGCCTGTGCAGGGAGCACCTGCGCACGCTGAATATGGTTCTGCATCTTGAGATGCTGTGCGTATTGCTGTTGCTGTTGCTGCAGTAAATGCTGCTGCTGCTGCTGCTGCTGCTGCTGCTGCTGCTGCTGCTGTACAGCATCTGATTGAGCTAACTTGCCTATTGTACCCACAGTCGGCATGCCCACATGCGCATGGATGAGCTGCCGAGGCGTGCCAGGGGGAGGCATGCGCTGAGCTGACGCGAGAGAAGCCGGCAAGACCCCCATTCCAGGTTGCACGTGCCCGTTGGCAATCACTCCTGCAGCAGAAGCAAGAGGATTTCCTTGGACCCGCATGGCCCCGATGGCGATTCCCATCGAACTGTTAGACAGCCCCGCACTTGATGCTCCCGTGCCCGCTTGAAATCCTGCCTGAGTGCCGGCAATCCCCGGTGTTGCTTGCGTCCGAATAACATCCTCCAGCAGGATGTAGTTGTCCTTTAGCATCTGCAGCCAATCAGACAAACACAGATCCATGGACATACACGAGAACGGTCATGCCTGATGTCCTTTCGTCACGACGCTCAACTCATTCAACAACACGTATGCACTGTGCAGTCATCACTTTGCATATGCACACTATCAGTCAAAAAATGCATACGCGCCGACCGCCTACCCCAACCGCCGACCGTATTGCAGGCGACCAGTAGGGCCGACCGGTTGGCGGTCTGCCGACCAGTCAGAAAACAGCCATCCAGCTTTTGTTTATTCAAATATGAGTTGGGGGCAGTACTGCACTTGCTGAGTACAGCCCAAATAGGGGGCAGTACTGCACTTGCTGAGTACAGCCCAAATCCGCTGAAAACTTTTGGGCATGCGGGGCTATGGGNTTATAACACCAACAAGAGGGGTTAAGAGGGGTTATAACACCAACAAGAGGGGTAAGAGGGGTTATAACACCAACAAGAGGGGTTAAGAGGGGTTAACACCAGCAACAGGGGTTAAGAGGGGTTATAACACCAACAAAAGGGGTTAAGAGGGGTTAACACCGACAACAGGGGTTAACACCGACAACAGGGGTTAACACCAACAACAGGGGTTAACACCAACAACAGGGGTTAACACCAACAACAGGGGTTAACACCAACAAGACGGGTTAACAGCAAGAAGAGGGGTTAACACTAAGGGGCTTACGAGCTGAAGCCGGAGTACAAGAAGCATAAGTCAGCAGAAGGACAGGTGGATGAAGCTGCAGGACTAGGAATGACCTAGACGATGTTGTCTTCAAGCTTTTCAATGATCAAGGAGGACACAGCAGCCGCTGGCCTTCTTGAAGGAAGGGTTGAATGATCTGTGCATCTATAACAAGAGGGGTTAACACCAACAAGAGGGGTTAACACCAACAAGAGGGGTTAACACGAACAAGAGGGGTTAAGACCAACAAGAGGGGTTAACACTAAGAGAGTAACGAGCTGAAACAAGAAGCATAAGTCAACAGAAGAACAGGCCGGATAAAGATGCATCGAAGCTTTTGCTTGGAATCAAATGCGTTGGCATCTACCTACCACCTGCTGGCACAGGTCTCTCGACATGCGAGCAGAAATATGGATCCGGTTCTCTCTCTTTTTTTTTTCTTTTTTTTTTGGGTGGGTGTGGGAAGGGGCCGGATTGCATCAGGAGACTTCTCTTCTCAGGGTCGTGATATGAGCACTCTACCAGAGTAGATTCGCCCCTTGTAAATAAGATAGATGGTTTTGTGAGCGAGTTTGTTCCAGTTCAAGCTTGGCCCTCCATAGGCAGGGGCCGCAGGGCAGCAATCTGTACCAGTATTTGGGGCTGGGGGAAGGGGGGAGGAGAGTTGGGGGACGACGGGAAGGGAAATGTGGGCAACAGCGGCAAGAACAGGAGAGGTGGGTGGGCTTATCTGTTGTACCTGTCATAATTAATACCTTTCAGGTGCGGGATTCAATCCTGTACGACTGTCATTTCCAACCCAACCCCCCCAAAAAGGCAGGATGTAATATGTATATATATTATATATCCCTGCTACGGTCTTTTTTTTTTTTTTTTTTTTTTTTAAT